GACACCCAGCTCTATCTGTTGTTGGGCGGCCAGTCTGATCCTACACCGGAAGATCTGGACCAGGCGTTGCAAGCTGTAGCTGGTTGGCTCAAATTGAGCCAACTGAAATTGAATCCGATGAAGACGGGGGTCCTGTGTCTGAGCGGCCCGAGGGTAGGGATTCTACTTCCAACCTTCGATGGGATGCCATTGGTGCCAGCACCGGAGGTTAGGAGCTTGGGAGTGCTCCTGGATGCCTCACTAACAATGGAGACCCAGGTAGCAGCCACTGCCAAATCAGCCTTTTACCACCTCCGGCTGATTAGGCAGTTGGTTCCCTTCCTCGAATGCAATGACTTGGAGACAGTGATCCATGCGATGGTCACCTCTAGATTGGATTACTGTAATGCTCTCTACATGGGGCTGCCCTTGACCCAAATCCAGAAGCTACAGCTAGTGTAAAATGCTGCGGCCAGGCTTCTGATGGGCCTCCCTATGTGGGAGCACATCCAGCCTGGGCTTAAACCACTGCACTGGCTGCCGATAGTATACTGAATTTGCTTCAAGTTGCTAGTACTTACTTTTATACCCCTTTATGGTCAGGGACCCACATACCTGAGAGAACACGTTTCCCCAGAGAGTACTGCACTCAGGGTCACAAAATCGATCGGCCTCCCAGGTCCCAAGGATGCCAGGCTGGCCACAACTAGGGCCAGGGCCTTCTCAGTGGTGGCTTCGTACTGGTGGAATGAGCTCCCAGAAGAGATCAGGGCCCTCAGGACCTTTTACAGTTCTGCAGGGCCTGCAAGATGGAGCTCTTCCACCAGGCCTTCGACTAAGGAGCCGCACCAAATAACACCAAATAACTGAGAAGTGACAGTGCCCTGGTCCTTGGCTTACCACCGACAGCCTGTGCTGTTGCCTAAATATAGAGACCAAGACGAGCCAACCACCAATATAGATTATCTAATTACAACAGTAGTACCGGTTCCGCCTTCTGTAAGCATTGTTATAAGTACCTGATCACTTACTAGCACTTTATGATAATGTAGAGTTATTATTTGTTTTAAGATTGTATATAATTTGTTACCTATATGTTTAATCTCTTTATAAACCGCCCTGAGCCCGCTCCAGCTTGAACAATTGAATAAATAAATAAATAAATAAATAAAGTTATTCACAAACAGTTTGGTGTAGTGGTTAAGTGTGTGGACTCTAATCTGGGAGAACCAGGTTTGATTCCCCATTCCCCCACTTGCACCTGGCTGGATGACCTTGGGCAAGCCATAGCTCTGTTAAGAGCTGTCCTTGAAAAAGAGCAGTTTCTGTCAAGAGTTCTCTCAGCCCCACCCACCTCACAGGGTGTCTGTTGTGGGGAGGGGAAGGGAAAGGAGTTTGTAAGCCGCTCTGAGATACCTTTGGGTTGTGAAGGGTGGGGTATAAATCCAATCTCTTCTCTTCTCCTTTTTCCTCAACAGTTTTCTGCATTGCACCCACAAGCATTTTTTCCCTTTGTCCTCTTCTTCCATTGCTTCTCAACTCCTCCTAGCATGAGCTGTGCCATGTTGAATCTCCCAATATCCATCACTTTGCTTTCATTGTCTCATGTTTTAAGAGGTGAATTATGTTTTTATACTTTGTGGAAGATTTCATCAAATCACTTTTACTCTTAGGAACAAAGTCCTTAAAGTACTTCATAACTAAACTGAAAACAATCTGTCTTCTCACTGGGAAGTCATCATGTTTCCCCAAAAATGCAGTAATGAAAATGGAAAAACACAAACTGCATTCACAAAAATCAAAGAAATACTGACTTTACTGACCATTTTTTTTAAAAAACTGACAAATTACCGACTAAGATGAAAAAAACTGGCTTTTACTGATTTTACTGACCATTTTCCACCCTTGTAATTGCTGCTATGCCCATCTTTTAACTCTTTTTACGGCTTAATATCTACTTTTTAATCGCTTATTGATTGTAATTTATTGTAACTCATCCTGAGCCAGCTCACAGGAAAGGTGGGATATAAATAAATAAATACTTTGGGTCAAGTGTGGGCTGCCATGACTAAACTCCCTCAGACCAAGGAGCATCCACAAAGATTCGTTCCCTGTGGCTACCTGTTTCCATGAAGGAACACCTGGAAGATAGAGTGTAGCTTCTCTGCCTTTGTGCGCAGTGAGGGTTCCAGTGAGTAGACCCCCAAAGTCCTGCCTAACCAAGAAGTTGTATACTGCTTTTTATATCTATCATTGTCACATTCCCTTCTCATGGTGTATCCATGATCCAAAGGCTAAATAGAACGAATGCATTTCAAGCAGACATTAGGTAATATTTTCTGCAGATCAACTTGCCTCATTTCATTCAGATCCAACAAACCACAGGAAAAGCATATGGCTGTGTGCAGTGTTGTACCCTCAGATAAAATCTTATGCATACTCTTTCAAAAATAATGCACTGTGATTACTCAAGTGTTGCCAGGTTAGACGATGTTGTCTCCCCAACAAAGTGATCTGACTGCCTGGAAAAACAAGATCCAATTCCTGATTTGAGCCAACTGGGTGTCCACAGAGTGAAAACCCAGCTAGGAATTCTCTCAACTATGGTTCTGTAACAAAAGGTCCTGGCTCTCATTCAGTCAGATGGCTGCTACAAAACCATCTCAAACACAGCGGGAATAAGAGAACTCTGTGAGGCTTGAACAATCCATTGAATTCATAACATAAATTTGTTGCTAAGAGTTCCTTAATTCCGCTCTTATTAATAAACTTAAAAGCCCTGCTGGATCAAATAAAATGCAAGTCTGTGATCAGGCAGGCAAAAAGGGAATATGAGGAACATATTGCAAAAAACATAAAGACCAACAATAAAACTTTTTTCAAATGCATTAGAAGCAGGAAACCAGCCAGGGAGGCAGTGGGGCCCTTGGATGACCAATGGGTAAAAGGAGTACTGAAGGATGATAGGGAAATGGCTGAGAAGCTGAATACATTTTTTGCCTCTGTCTTCACTGTGGAAGATGAGAAGTGCTTGCCCACTCCAGAACCGCCGAGTTAGGGAGGGGTGTTGAAAGACCTGAGTCAGATTGAGGTGACGAGAGAGGAGGTCCTAAAACTGATAGACAACTTAAAAACTGAAAAATCACCAGGCCCAGATGGCATACATCCGAGAGTTCTGAAAGAACTCAAATGTGAACTTGTAGATCTCCTGACAAAGATATGTAATCTTTCCTTAAAATCTGCCTCCATTCCTGAGGATTGGAAGGTAGCAAATGTCACTCCCATCTTTAAAAAGGGTTCCAGAGGAGATCCGGGAAATTACAGGCCAATCAGTCTGACGTCGATACCGGGTAAATTGGTGGAAACCATTATTAAGGAAAGAATTAGTAGGCACATAGATGAACAAAACCTATTGAGGCAGACTCAGCACGGTTTCTGTAAGGGAAGATCTTGTCTCACTAACCTGTTAGTGTTCTTTGAGGGGGTGAACAAACATGTGGACAAGGGGGATCCAATAGATATTATTTACCTTGACTTCCAGAAAGCTTTTGATAAAGTTCCTCATCAAAGGCTCCTAAGTAAGCTCAAAAATCATGGGATAGAAGGACAAGTCCTTTTATGGATCAAAAACTGGCTAGTTCATAGAAAACAGAGAGTGAGTGTAGGTGGGCAATTTTCTCAGTGGAGGGTGGTAAGCAGTGGGGTACCGCAGGGATCAGTACTTGGTCCACTGCTTTTTAACTTGTTCATTAATGATTTGGAGATGGGAGTAAGCAGTGAAGTGGCTAAATTTGCGGATGATACAAAGTTGTTCAGGGTGGTGAAAACCAGTGAGGATTGTGAGGCACTCCAAGGGGATCTGTCAAGGATGGGCGAGTGGGCGTCAACATGGCAAATGGGGTTCAATGTGGCCAAGTGCAAGGTGATGCACATTGGAGCCAAAAATCCTAAATATAAATACACATTGATGGGGTCTGAACTGGCAGAGACTGAGCAAGAGAGAGATCTTGGAGTTGTAGTGGATAACTCACTGAAAATGTCGAGACAGTGTGTGACTGCAATAAAGAAGGCCAATGCTATGCTGGGGATTATTAGGAAGGGTATTGAAAACAGATCAGCCAATATAATAATGCCCCTATATAAATCAATGGTGAGACCTCATTTGGAATACTGTGTGCAGTTCTGGGCACCACACCTTAAAAAGGATATTATAGCTTTGGAAAAAGTGCAGAAAAGGGCAACTCGAATGATAAAAGGGTTGGAACACTTTCCCTATGAGGAAAGGTTAAAGCGCTTAGGGCTCTTTAGCTTGGAGAAAAGACGACTGAGGGGTGACATGATCGAGGTTTATAAGATTATGCATGGGAAAGAGCAGGTAAAGAAAGAGGTACTTTTCTCCCTTTCTCACAATACAAGAACTCGTGGGCACTCCATGAAACTGCAGAGCGGTCGGGTTAGAACGGATAAAAGGAAGTACTTCTTCACCCAAAGAGTGATTAACACATGGAATTCACTGCCACAGGAAGTGGTGGGTGCTACAAGCATGGACGGCTTCAAAAGGGAATTAGATAAGCATAGACTGGATGGTGCCAAAACTGATCCAACATTGGCTTCTCTTATGTTCTTATCAGTGGTCTAGCTAGTCCAGTATCCTGTTTCCCACAGTGGCCAACGAGATGCTCCTCTGAGCCCTAAGCCTTGGGAGCCAAAAGCTGCCCCTGTAGTTGCCCTCCCCAGCCACTGGTATTCACAGGTATACTAGCTCTGAACATGGAGGTTCCATTTAGACATCACCAATGTTACTTCCCCGATAAGAGAGAACATTTGCTGTAAGAATTCTTCTAAGGCTACTTCAGCCTCATTGTATTCAGAAAGGATGAACCACAGCTGACCACTTTAGGTCCTGGTAGAGGAAAACAGATGCAGAATTATAGGCTCATGGTCACACACCCAATACTTTTGTAAACATGGTCGTGCCATATGACATCAAAGCCAGCCTTCTCATCCCATCTGGATTTCTTTTAGCCAGCTCTAAAGGCTGGTGTTTGGCACAAAGTGAGCATGATTCTCTTGTACTCCTTTCTGAAACTGTGATTCAGCACTCCGTAAATCACAGCGTTCAGGCAGCTGTTAAAATATGCCATGAAATAACTAGCTGTGAAGAGCCATTTGGGTATGGAGGAATCCAGCGTTGGTTTCAGGGCCACCACAAAGCCAACAAGGTTCAGTGGTGCCCAGCAGATTGCAAAGAGCACAAAGACCATAAACATGGTCAGGAAGTTCCAGAAGTCATGGGGCTTTATTCTGGGCTGGACATCTGGCTTGACTCTCCGCCGCACCTGGAGCACTAGGATCCAGATTCTCAGGTAACAATAGCTGACGATGGTGATAGGCAAGAAGAAATGGATGACCACCACCATGATGGTATAAAGGGAGCTGACAGACTGGGAAAAAGTACAAGAATACACCCGTGGATCATACTTCAGGGATTCCACAAAGAGGTTGGGCATGATTGCCAGCAAGGTAAGGGCCCAAACTAGCCCCACGTAGCAGAGTGTGTTATGATAAGAGAAAAGTCTGTCGTATTTCAAGCTGTGGCAGATGTAGCAGTAGCGGTTAATGGCAATGCCAGTAATGTTGAAGACGGAGCTGATGACACTCATGCCCATCAGGAAACCGCTCATCTGGCAATGGAAGCCTCCCATCACCCAGTTGTCATGGAAAATGGCTATCAGAGCCAATGGGAAGGGGTACAAAGCAGCTAGTAAGTCCGCAACAGCCAGGCTGACCACAAAGGCATTCCCTGTAATTAAAAAGAGAAGTATTAATTGGGGGGGGGTTATAAACAAACAGTTATGATGCCTGGTGCGGCTATATTCTTTATTAGTACATCTGCCTGTGTCTCAAAAAATTTCAGTCCATGTAAGGGAATAGTACATTCACCAGTTCATACCTTTAATCTGTTCCGCCAGATAGGAAGGAGAGAACCATTTTACAGAAAATCAGTTTGAGCACCTGGAGTCCTTTCCCACCTTAAATACACATGTACTTTTTCTGTGCCTTTCTGCCTCAGCTTTTAGCTAAGCATAACAACACTTTTGTTCTTTGCTTATTCACAGCAAGGAAAATGGTAGCTGAGATACTGCTTTCCCCCACACAAGGCTGCCAAAACTGTCATTGGAAACCCTTTCCCAGTTGTCTACTCAAGAGAGGGCATTTCTATGGTAGCACTATGAATGTGGCAGTTTTTTTCTGGCCCCACATCAATAGCTATTAGCCAATATAATCTACATTCTCGGTTCAAAAGTGTCCTCAAAGCTTTCACTGTCGTAAACTAGAAGTGATCTACAAAACTGAGGCAAATATATAATAATCTGATCTTTTAAACTTTAATTAAAACTGCCTGCCAGTGGAAATGGGTTTCGCTTTATTTGATTAAAATTTACATCCTTTTTCTCTTTTTGTGCATAGTGGTATGCAGAAAATGAAACCCTGTTTAATAGGTCATTGTGCCAGGGAATTCTCATGGTGTCGAATCATGTCATCTCTGACTTTGGCTGCCGAAGTCAGTTATTTCCTAAAGGTTTCAAGAGTAGGAATTTGAGCTGATGTAAAAAGTGGGAAGGAAGGAAGGAAAACAGAAATATGGTCACTGTGGGCAGAATACATAACCCTAGTTATTTATCCGATTGGGACTCTGGCATTCTAGGAGCACTGCAATAGTGGACAGCTCCAAATATTTCTTCTGCTTGAAAATGCCTTTCCCTTCCATTGTGCCAGGAAGGTTCCAGCTCTGCAGTGCATGGGTACAGGGTGGGACTATTCCATACCACAAACCACAGAAAGCCCCCACAGTTTGCACGCAGAAGGTTGGATCCAGCACAAAGACCTTGCAAAGCCCCATGAAAGGGTTCCCAGTCTTTGCAGTACTCTCCTCCCCCCAGCAGCCACATCTGACCAGTGGAAAGTTCATTCCTGGGTCTGTGGGACCACCATGGAGTAACAGCCAGAGGGGTTGGAGGTCTTAGTGTAAAAAGAATGGCCTGGCTTCTTGAGCAAAATTCCACCAGCACAACAGTAGCTCCTCCAATGAAATGGTTTTTCTGTCAGTGGAGCAGGGGAGGGACATTTTTGCCGATTCCCCACTCCTAATGCAGATTCCCATTCCACCCCCCACTGTTCCTGGGTACTAACTGACCCAGTGGAGCACACTTTTGAGGGATACAGAAGGCTGCAGTGAGAGGGAATGGCAAGGAAGTAGCCTTCCTTAAGCAATGCAAGCAGAGTTGCAATAAAGATCCAAGCCCACAGAGCAGACTATGCAACTTCAGACTCCTAGGAGTTTCACACAGGTGACCATCCTTCAAACTTTATAGAAAAGGCAAGTCAAGGGTAGAAATGCAGGGACCTTTTTGTTGCTTTTGTTTTGCTGTGAAACGTTCTTCAGAGCATCAAGTGGCTAGTTGCCAAGCCCTTTAAAATGAAAAGGTCAGCTTCTTAAATACAATTGATAAAGGAACCATTTTGGAGGCCAGTCAAATGCCTCTTTTATCACAGGACTGTCAACATCGACTGCTGGCAACTGGGTGGGGGTGTGCCACAGAAATCCCTTGGATAACCTGAGACATATTCTCTAGTCAGGGAGTTCTTCTTTGGTGAAGACTAAGGTGAGAAACAAGAACTAGTGCAGTAACGTAGAGGAAATCAGACCAGGTGACTTCAGGCTGAATGGCCCAGAAGGACTCAACACTAATTATGAAAATTACAACAAATATTGCTGTGATGGAATAAGAGTAATGTCTCATGGGTGTGATCCTGTAGCTTTAAACCAAATACTTTAAATAAGAGCACCACGTTGGGGATCCCTGCTCTACATGGGCCCCTGTCACACAGGCCGGATATCGTGGAGGGGAGGCGTGGCTAATTGCCAAGGTGCAGTTTGATCCGCGATTATGCGATCAGACGCGCCGGCAGCACACCACGGGTCCTTCCCTCTGCGCTGGCGGCTAAACGAGAGACCGGAGGGGAATGCCGCGCGCCAGCGCGATCACACTACGGGCGTCTGGAGGCAGCCCGTGGCAAAGGTTTACTAGTACCTTGGAGGTACTAGTTTTTAAATGCGCATTGTCGGCGGTAAGCCACAGGTGCGCTCCACTTCCCAGATGTTGGGGTGTGATCGAGCCCGGATAATCCGCCCACCATCTATGCCTCTCCCATGGCAACTTTGTCGTGTGATTGGGGCCATAAACTACTTTATCAATTGTATTCAGTAACAGAAATCTACTCTCATCCTGAAGTTATTTGGTAAGCTAGGACCGTATTCTTGAGGGCCACTTGACAACAACAACCCTTCCAGTTTGGCTAATTCTGGAGTTGGGTCTCTCACCGACTTCTCATATCACCTCTGGTGGGTGCGAGCCTGAAATGTACTCCAAGAACCAGCAAGAGTCAAGGTCAAATCTGCTGCCTTTATAAGCAACTATAAAGAGATAGCAGGCGGCATCGTCTGGGAAAAGAATACAAACTGGGGGCCCTAAGACCCTTTCATGGGAGTAAGCACCACTGAATAAAATGGGGCTTACTTCCGAACAGACCCGCGCTCTGCCCCTAAGAGAGGGGGGAGAAGACCCCAGGCAGACCCCTCCTCCGGCCAGCAACGCCTTTACCTGCTTTCCTCAGCTTCTTGTTCTTGTAGACCGACAGTATCACGAGGATGTTGCCCAGGATGTCCACGGCGATGGTGAGGATGAGGATGGCGGCGAGGAGGCTGGCCACCCAAGCGGGATAGAGCTCCTCCTTCCCTCCCAAGCCCGCAGCAGACCCATTCCTCGGCAACAGCCCCGCCTCGTCCATTCTCCCTCACCTGGTCCCCGTCTTCGGAAACCCGGGCGGCGGCGGCGGGGAGGGGGAGATAGTTCGGGGCAATGAAGGCAGATCAAGCGGGCTGGTAAAGTACAGCCACCTCGAAGTTGTTTGTGGCGGGCGAGAGCCGCATGGTCTGCTCGGCTCCTCCCCCTTGAGCCCTGGATTCACCCTCCGCGACGCCGAGCGAGAAACGGATTTCCTCAAGTCGATCGGATATGGGACGGGGGATCTCCGGCCAGCGATCGCACGCACGAGCACCCCCCCCCCTCCGGGCTGCTGCAACCTGCGCGAGGCCACCCCGTCCGGGATGCTCCGTTTCCCGCCTTTGTACAGCGCCTTCGGAAAGAACCTGGGTGTCCGGCCCGCGACAAGCTGCTGCAGTTTGTCCCAGAGGATGGTTCCTTCCCAGACACTGGTCCCAGGCACGCGTTCAGGTTAGCTCGCAGCTCGATCTCTCTGAGGTGCGGCGAAAGGTCGCCTTCCGCGCCTTTCCTTGGCGAGGGCATGGTACTTGATTAGGAGGCTGCTGCATGGCTGCATCTCTCTGTAACGATCAGCCGGCCCCTGCGCTTTGCTTTTCAGCAACGGCCAGGCTGGAAGTAAAGTATCGGGGAAGAATGTTTCCCTTCAGAGTCCCCGAGGAAACCGAAGAACAGGAGCAACAAGTTTGCAGCGTGAAGAAATCTTGACCGTAGGTCCTCCTAATGCCACTGTGCAGGAGCCTAGCCACCACGGGGCCCCGCCTCCGTTCAAATCAAACATCACCGATACCATGATCAGCTTCATACTTGTTCAGTAGGTCAGAAACTGTAAAAAAAAAAAAGGGACAGGATTTTTAAGTGGTAAATGTTACTTAACTAAGCATTTACACTGTGTAGATTGCAATAAGGCACATAGAATCAGAAAGACTCCCCAGCCAAGGAACCCAGCCAGAATACTGACCTTCCCTATCAGTTAAAGGCATATGAGACCTAAGGTTGCCAGGTCTGGGTTGGAAAATACCTGGAGGCTTTGGGGGTGGATCCAGGAGGGGGCGGAGTTTGGGGAGGGGAGGGGCCTCAGCATGGCACAATGCCCTAGAGTCCACCCTTCAAAGCAGCCATTTTCTGCAGGGGAGCTGATCTCTGTCAGCTGGATATCAGTTGTAAAACCAGGAGATCTCCAGGCCCTGCCTGGAGGCTGGCAACCCTAATGAGACCCTAATTATCTTGGGATAAGTATCGCTGAGTGACTGAGGTCTTCAAACTCTCCCCAGCTGCAACTGAGTGGATTGAAAATCTAGATATTAGTATTTATGGGGATTGCCCAGTCAGTCTGCATATCCCTTGTATCAACTTGGTTACATAATTTATATTATTACATACTTCCTGTGTGTAACTCTGCCATACCATAAATACTGAGTGAAGTGAGACTTCCTTCTCTTTCAAAAAGTACTCAACTTAAAAAAATTTCTATTCACCAGGACAATAAAGCAGGCTCACAACAATGTAGACTTACTTAATGTGGAGGGAAAATTGGGGAAATGTGAAAAGTTGATTGCACCCTTCATGGAAAGAAGGTGCATTATCTGAGTGCCCTGGTGGTGGTGGTATTTTTTATGGCTGTACAAGATTCCTTTTGGGTTTTGCCACAGCAGACTAACGTGGCTGCCTTTTTAGAATCTACCTCTGCTACTGTCCACCTTCACAACATCTTATCCATTTGTGCCAAGATCTCACTAGCGCTTAGCTCAAGAGTTTGTTTTTAGCACAGTCTGAGAACTGGGGGGAGGAAATACTTCCAGGCATGCACAGAAAGCCTTCCCCTCAACACTGGAAAACGGCAGTCTCCTTTCTTCCCACACACTTTAATAATTTAGTAGCATACTAAATACCCTTGAGTATAGTAGCTCAAGTGGTTAAGATGTTGAACTCCAGACTGTGGAAGGTCGGTAGTTCAGCAGTTCGAAACCCAAGTGTGCTGCATGACGGAGTGAGCTCCCGTCTCTAGTTCCAGCTCCTGCCAACCTAGCAGTTCGAAAGCAAGAAATTGCAAGTAGATAAATAGGTACCACTTCAGTGGGAAGGTAACAGCATTCCGTGCACCTTGATGTTTAGTCATGCCGGCCACATGACCACAGAAACGTCTTCGGACAGCGCTGGCTCTTCGGCTTTGAAACGGAGATGAGCACTGCAACTCTAGAGTCGGATTTGACTGGCTTTCGAACAAGGGAACCTTTACCTTTTACACTGACCTGAGCCCTGTTCTTCAGGGAGGGTGGTTTAAAATTTAAATAATGTGTTGTTTATTGGTTTTACTGTTGTAAGCCGCCCTGAGCCGCTTCGGCGGGAGGGCGGGATAAAAATCAAATTAATAATAATAATAATAAAATAAATAATAATAATAAAATAAATAAATGTTAGAAGTTGGAGGTTTTTTAGTTGGGAGAGCCATTCTGGTTCTTGATACTTTTCTGTTAAGTTACTTAATGAGATGGAAGCCCTTATCAATCTTTCTGTGTTTGACTTCCTGCATATGAACACTAAGGCTGACTTTCCTTAATAAAGGAAATCCAAGAGGACATTCAAGAGGGAAATTGGTGAATTAGAATTTATCAGTCAATTTAATTGTATTGACCAGTGCACTTAACCAGAGAACACACATTTGCTCACCAACTACAGATTTAGCTGATTAAAACTAGGGTGACAAATCACAGTTTATCTTTAACACTGTGCTTACCTTTGTACAGTAATATTACAGAATGTACCTTTTGCATTGCATGGCCTTTAGGCCCACTATTCAAATATTTTTCCTTTCTCTATATATATCTTTTGATTGAGGATCCATTCCATGCATTTGATAAAGTGTGCCCATGCTTATGATCTTAACATACTCATTTTGTTCAGTAGCATTATGAGACAGTATGGGAGACAACCTAGGTATTTCAAAGAGAAATGGGCTTTTAACATTGCAGCAAATAAAAGTATAGTCCACTAGATATAATTTCCTTCTGTTCCGGAACATCTTTATTGGAGATTACAATGTTACTAGAGTACCAGATTCTGGGGATTTGTTCTTTGGGTGTGTGGCAAACAAGCATATAATACAAGACTTTCTTGCTTTAGTGATTGGAAATTCTATCCTATGCAGAGTTAATCAATGAATTTAGACTGGCTCAACTGCATAGAATTGCATTGTGAGAGAAAAAAGCAGGAACCATTTGGCTTGACCTTAGTTCTGTTGGAATAGTGCACATACTTGAAAAAGATCAGAAGAAGACCTCCCGACTTCCTTTCTGAACTTACCAACTTTTTTTAGCTGAGTACCCCCTGGAGGGGGTCTCAGAGCAAGGAGCTTGAACTGAGAGATGGCGAGGACAGCGGTCAGTGCACAAACTTGGTATTGCTTCGAAGCAGGAAGTCGCGATGAGGCAGTCAGTGCTCCACATTGAAGATTAATGAAGACTAGGAAACCACAGAGGACTCTCTATATCTATTCTGCGAAGAAGACTAAGAACTGAAAATCAATTTTCCTTCCCTGTGGGTTAAGAAGCGGAGCGGCAAAAAAAAGAGAGACGTCCCCTTTAAGCTCTCACAATTGAGTTCAGGAGCGGAGTGAAACGGTGAGTCTTTTCCTCCCCCTTTAAAGCGGCGTCTGAAAAGTCACCTGAATTCAACCCTTGGGTGGGACAACAGCTAGGGCAAATGAATATGAGAACTTAGGAAGCCCTCTTGCATTATATAGCAGTGCTGGTGATAGGTTGGTGATAGGCTCTCATCCTTTTCTTTTCTCTCTCTCTCCCCTTTTTTGTCTTTTGCTGTTTCTCTCTTCTGAATGAATCCCCCTATGCCGTGAGCTCGTTGGTTACTTCCTACGAGGTGAATGGGCAGGAGCTCAGCATCAGAGAGGCAGAATACCTAAGAGAAGAAGCAAATTGAGGCAACGGGATGGCGAACTGAGAGCAGTGGGATTGAAACAATAAACAACAGACAACAACATAACACAGAGGCAGACGAAGAGAGGACAAAGGAGGACAAGAGACGAGAGAGAAAAGGGCAGGAAGAAGGAGGAGGTTATAGGGGGAAGTAAAACTGACACTGGAGTAAAAATTAAGAAATAGTAGCAATATTAATTATATATATATAAATAAACCAAACCAACAAAGAGATACAGAGATAGAAGTTAAACTTGTTTATATGGTGGATCCTTAGACCTAATTTTGTGTATATGATATCTGCCTATATTTGTGGGGAATATAAAACAAAAGTGTTTGAGAAATACCATACAAGTGGTTGAGGGAGACTGGCAAGGCAAGATGGTAAAACATATTAGAGGGCTTTATATGTTACTTAATGACCATCTTTTTTTATAATACTTTGTTAGGAAAATATAGGGTATACAACTAAGGGCAAAAGAACAGAACAGGAAACCAATAAATTGCAAATAGAAATTTAAATAAGATAAAGATGCCCAGTGGTACTAGAAAGACATCTGTCCCTTCACCAGGACAAGCGAAAGCAGCGGCACAAAGCCTAGCACAGATGAACCCAAAGGACTTACATACTATAATACAGGAGAGTGTAACACAAGCTATGAACTCTGTAATACAAAATACCTTACCATCTTTGGTTGCTAAAGCAATAGAACCCCTGCAAATGCAGTTAGATGTACTCACGCAGAAAGTATCCACGCAAACCGAAGAATTTAAAAAGCAAATATTAGAAAACAAAGCAGATACATCCAAACTGGAAATAACATTTAAAAAATGGAGACTAGAATTGAAGATGTAGATCAACAAGTAATAGACCTAAAAACAAAACTTGAATCCGTGGAAGAAACAGTGATAAACTTGGAACTGGAGAAAGCCGCCCATACTTGAAGATTTCAAAATGTTCCGGAACAGAAGGATGAGAACATAAAAGAAATTATGGTCCAAGCCTTGGCAGAATATATAGGAGACGAACAGTGAAGGAAGTATCTGAGAATTTGGATGTTGTATATAGAAGAAA